GTCATAAAATTGACCAATGTTATGGCAGGGCTATATTATGTAGCCGTTTTCATGCAAAATTGTACTAAATACTGTCAAAAACCATGTGGTTGCTGTGTAATCAGGCGTTTGAGATAGAAAACCTAACTTAGAAAACGCACAAATGTCGAAAAAACAATTTTATTATAACTGGATCTTTGCGGTATGGTTCAATAACATATTAGTAAAGTTGCATTTTATGTGTAAAACGCCTGATTGTACAGCAAATACATGGTATTTTTACAGTATTTAGTACTAATTTGTATGAAAACTGACACGTAACATAGCCTTGCCATAACATTGGTCTATTTTACGGCAGAATCGGCCCATAAATTATACCAAATGGATTTTGTCATGATATTCAATATAAACTAATAGATACCAACGGTGAATAGTATAAAAGAGTAAATTTAGGTGATAATAGCACTATTTATGATTTTGCAATATTTTATCTGAATAGAACTATAGTAGGAATTCGAATCAAAATTTCCTCATGATCGAACAAATTCCGATGCCGAGCCAAAGCCGTGTTAAAAAATTAAAATAAGAAATCGTTAATGTTGAGTAGTTGCTGACTTCTATAACTAACAATAAAATAACTCATTCTTAACTTATACATCGAGCAAAAGCTTTTAAATCTATAATCTTCTTAAATGCAGTCTTGGTGCATCTTATGAAATGCACTCGCCAAGGTTCCGAGATTAGAATTATTTTTATTCACCGTGAACATCGATCGATGCACTATATTCTCACTTTTTGCAAATAAAAAAATAAGGAGGAAATATATTGAAAACTAGTTGTGCATGGCATTGTGCTATAAGGCAAATTGCTGGAACTTCCCGTACCGTAACAATTTTTTTTGTTTTGTTATATATAGTAAAATCAATTATTTTGTCAAAACAAAATAAAAAATAAATGTCAAAACAAGCAGAAAGTTTTTTGAATCATTCAAATCGGATGCTTAGTTCTCTCAAAACTGCCATTTTTTGCAAATTTAGCTCGGTATCTCTAAAACGGCTGGACCTGCCTTTGCCAAAAATTAAACACCACTTCTCCCAATCATTACAAATTGAATGCTTTTTCGATAATACAAATCACATACTTCGTTCTTTCAAAACCTCGATTTTTATTTTCTGCACCCTTTGCTCCGTATCTCCGTAACGGATGGACCTGTCTTCGCCAAAAACTAATTAGCATATCTTCCTATCAATAGGAATCGAATGTTTTTTGAATCATTCAAATCGGCGCCCGAAAACGTTAACGAAAAAATGCAGACACACAAAACACACACACACACAAATCCTGAGGTACGCCAAAATGTTCAGAAACCTTCAAAACTTGAAGATATACAAAAATTTTCATTTTCGATTTTCGACCCATTACTATAACTACCCTACGGGAAATTAATAAACATATATATATATATATATATATATATATATATATATATATATATATAGTAATGATCAAAAATTTCTCTAGCAATTTGTTATAAATTATTCATGGTTCAATTATTCAATCTTAAAGAAAGCATAAATATAATTATATTCGGAAGTATTCGATAAAAATATAAGTAGTTAAATTAAAAAACTTGTTTCTTCGACTTCTTTTTCAAACGTCTTAATTATGCTGGTATAATAACAGAAATAAATTATCGTAAAGATATCTAATATAATTTTTTTGCCTTTTTGCAGTAGTATAATTATTTCCTAGTTTTGCAATAAAGACTTTAGAGCGGATTGCTTAATTGCTTTGGTTAATTAGTGAATTGGATATAGATAAGACGGAGATAAAATCAGAGATAATATATATATCACAAATTGTTTTGTTGATACAGGGTGTCCCAGAATTCAAAGTTTCATTAGTTTCAGAACATTTTGGCATACCTTAGAAAAATAGTTGTATATGTATATAAAAAACAAATTCGTATTGAAGAGGAGACGTGCTGATTAGTTTTTGGCAATGGCAGTTCTAGCTGTTTCGAAGATACGGAGAAAAATAGCTAAAAATGTATTACCATCATCCAATTTGAATGATTCAAAATTTTCAAAAAAAATTTCAAAATTTTTTAAAAATTCTAATTTTCGATACGGGAAGTTTTAGCAATTTGCCTTAAAGCACGATGCCATGCACCACCAGTTAGATTTATAAATAATAAAAAATAATTGTTTATTTCCTGACATTTCCACGAACAGCCACAGTGCAAATAATGATCATTGAATATTGTACAAGGAAAACAATATAATTTTATGTTTAAGGCAGAAACCAGAATAGGAATAGGAATCTTATCAGATTTATAGGCAGGGAAGTGATTGTTCTGCAGATTACCTGATATGATAACCACCCACGTTCCATTTGTATGCAGACACAGGTGTTATTATAATAATATAATGCAATTCCTATATCTCCATAGACGGTACGAACATTTATGTATCTGGTTTCAGTTAATTTATTAACTTATGCAAAACAATGTCTTGTTGGCGCCTTGGAGATTGGATATATCCAACGAATATTACGAATACTTGTCATAAGTACTTACCTCTCACAAAATACCTTCACATTTTATTTTATATTTGAACTAACTTGTAAGTATAAATGAAATAGCACACGGACTGAATGGGCAAAATATGTAAGCAAGTTGTTCAGGTAAACATTGGGCCAAGTGCAACAACATCATTCTGACAAAAACCATAGAATGAAATAAATTATTTGTTGTATTAGGGAATATTTTTGGGGAAATGCAATCATAGGTATGATATTGAGTTAGCACTATGATTTACATTCATGCAAAGTAACTTGTGCGACTAATTTATTAAAAAACGTAACAAACGCATTGTAGCAAGTAACTTTAGCAAGACCAAGAATAACGTCTAAAAATTATCACCTTTGATTCTTATATAATTGTTCTTTGAATATCTAATACAACTTTGTAAAATTGTTTTTTTTTTCTATTAATATTAGGCTTCAGATCTAGTAAACTAATAGTTTGTTTTCAAATTTTTCAACAAAGTTCAAAAGGTTTGAAAATTCAATGACCTCTTAATACTTACGTCGTTATGATTATAATGTAAAACTAGTGGGGCGCATGGCATCGTGCCTTAAGGCAAATTGCTGGAACTTCCCATACCAAAAATTAGATTTTTTTTAAAAAAGATTAACATTGTTGAAAAAAATTTACTTCGAACAAATTAGATTTTTGAGAAAATATAAATTTGACAAAAAATTACTTTTTTTTGTTGTTTTTATTTTGACATATTTTGGAAATTATTAACTTTTTTTCAAAGCAATCGTACGACTTTAACCGCATAGAGACAAAATATCAAGGCGCGTAAGCGCCACGTCGTCGTCTAACGGATAAACATTGGCACGGAACCCATAGGAATGTAAACAAAATTTATACTTATTAAAATCTATGTAAAATATCTGATAATTTGATGTGCATATTATATGTCTAATGATCATTTTTGACCGCCAAATGGCATTTTTTTACTTTTTTCACTAGATCTCCGAAACCGCTAGACCTGCCTTCATGAAAATTTGATCAATTCTTCATCTTGTCAATACAAGTAAAATGTTTTGAATTGGGACCCTCCGTTCTCTTAAAAACCGTTACAATTTTTAGCATTTTTTGCCCCGTATCTTCTAAATGACTAGATCTGCCTTCGCCAAAAACTAATCAGCACATCTCCTTATCAATACGAATCGAATGTTTTTTGAATTATTCAAATTGCATCATCCGTGTTCCCGAAATTGTCGACGAAAATTTGTATCCGCACACACATACATCTATTTTTTCTAAGGTATGCCAAAATGTTCAGAAGATTTTGAAACGTAAAGATATATGAAAATTTTCATTTTCGATTTTTTTTTGCGATTACTATAACTTGCCCTACGGAAAGTTAATTATGTTGTTTTTTCTTAAATTTCACGTGTAATTATTAATTTAAGTTTTTATAAGCGAAGATTATATAAAATAATTAGATTTTAAATTTCTAAACAAAACTCGCTTCAACTTATAAAACAAAATAAAAAGTTAAAATAATAAGAGTTTGTTTTCAAATGTCTACAAATAAATTTATAAAATTTATTAATGAATTGAAGGCTAAAAATTATAATAATCGGTAATTTTACTAATTTCCAAAAGTGGTGACCTCCACTAAATTTAGAAATTCCACAAAAATGGTCAAATTTTTTATGGCAGAATGTATCTTTTTGGTCTTTTATAAGAATCTTATAAGAAAAACTAAGAAAAAAAAATTATTGGTTTGAAAACTTAAACTCGTATGTAAAATATTACAACTCCTATTAAAAAATGTATTATTACTCCGATTTACTCATATTTTTGTTTTTATTTTAGCTAATAGATATTTGATTGCAAATTTTGATGAATTAATCGATTTACTTATTGTTAGTTCAAATAGTTTGTAAATTATAAATTGTAAATTAAACCTATATCAAATTCTGGTTGTAGTACTGCAAAGGCGTAATTTGTAATGAAACAAAATTTATAATATGAACGAAATAATTTCTATTATACTATATACAGTCTGTCATAAATAAAATTAATAAGGGATTATAATAAAAGCTAATGATATAAATGACTAATTTTTTTACCTACTAATCGCATAAATATTAATCAGTACGATAAATTACACTATGTAATAAAATGTTTATATACACTTAGGCACTTATTTACAATTTTCACACTTTCACTTATGTCTAGAATTATAATTTGTTACAATTACAGCTTTGATTTTAGAATAAATTAAGGCTTAGAAATATATTGGCGTTTGAAGGAAATATAATATTATAAAATCACGTGAAAGTTTAATCTTTAATATGACATGATTCTATTCAATATTTATTAAAAATGAAATTAGCTAAACTATGTTACCTCAAGGCACTAATGTGATGCTTCGTAAAAATTTGGTAAATAAAATATATTGAAACAAATAAACTTTTGATTATTAAATTCAGTTCTGTGCGTCAAAATTTGTGCGCTTAAAATTCCAAATTTTGTGAATTAATTGTCAATTTAAATTCATAAGTTCTACATCTTAATTTAAGCAAACTTTTACCATTCAAGAAAAATTCAAAATGATTATTGTCAAGTCACTAAAATCTGAGGTATTGGTTTTTCTAAAATTTAAAGCATGTGAAGAAAACTAAAAAAAATTATATCACAGTCGATATATCAGTGGCGTAGGAGTCGTCTTTACAACAAGAAGACTGAGCAATTGGAGCAGCCCCTGGTACCAAATCATCTGTACTACTTCTGGTTGTTTGAGATCTTCGCAGGTTTAAGGTCGGCCTGGTGCTTCTCCTCAAACTAGACCTGGGAAAAAAAAATTAATAAATAATCGAAATTGTAAAGTACTAAACTAAACGTTTCGAGGCAAATTTTGATGTTGGTTTTAAGTCTCCAATTATTTTTACCTTAAGAAGTGTGCAACATCAGCAGCTGTCATAGATGTGCCACTATTTTGTGTGGTTTGAGGTGGTGCACTATGGCGACTGTTTGCATTTTGTGGGACAGCTGGTGACATTTCTACCAAAACAGCATCATAATCAGGAGGTGGTAGAGTTTGCTGATTTTGTTGCGTGCTGGTTCTTTGTAAAGTACTGGGCTCACCAAAGGCATTGGCAATCCTGAGAAAATATATAAATTAATATCTGTTATCATACCTCATAATAAATAAATTATTTGCGCATGTTAGAAAATAAAAGTTCCAAGGTCATTAATTCAAATTGCATTTGAGTCTAGGGAATGCAATACCGATGGAAAATTTCAATACCGGTTTTTGGGTAATTTTCCATTTTAAAACCGAATTACCGGTAAATTACCGGTATTTTTATTATCTTAAACAAACGTAAACAAAATTGAAAGTTACTAGTACAAATATGAAAAAAATGTATATACAACTACAACTATATTCAACTAAACAATAAAATAAAACAATAAGTTTATTATTTTAAATAATAATTTAACAAAAGTATATGCAATTTAATTAATTCATTATCACTATCGAGTATATTGAGTACTTTTCACCAAAAACAAACGTATGAGTAAGAAAGATCAAAAACTCATAAAAGATCATATTACATTATTATAATAAACTGTATTGTCTGTTTCCGATGTGTTAAATTAGCATATTTTCCAATATTTAAAAAAAAAATTTTTTCTACACTAATTTAAGATCGGATTCTTTGTCGAGATAAATAATAAGTTGTTATAATTGTTGAGTATTATTATTTAAAACAATGTGTTGCTTCTATAGTATTTTCAAACTTCGAAACGTTTTCGAAAAATAATATTTTATAATTGTAATAAGAAACAAAAATATTTAGTAATTATCATAATTATTATGTATAAAGTTAGAAAAAAATAAAGTTTACGCAGCGGTAATCTGTATGACATAAAATATATTAGCGCAAATATCACTTGAAAAACCGTTACATTTTTACAAAAGATGAAACAAACATCATTATCTATCAGTCCAATTCTATTCACGATATGATGCCCTTTGGAAAGCAATAAATATTCAGTTTAATGACGAGTTGAGATAATATTTGACATTCGTTTATCTTGTAGAATCACTTGAAGATATAGCTGTTTATGCGATTCTGGAATTTAAAGATAAATTTGTTCCGAGAGATTTAAACTTTAGGGTATTATGTATCAAATAGCGCTTATGTAAAAATACCGAAAATACCGGTATTTCAGTAGAAAAAACCGGTAAAAATACCGCTGAAAAATCGGGCGGTTTACCGGTAGTTCGGTAGACCGGTAGACCGGTATACCGGTATTGCATTCCCTATTTGAGTCCATTAAAATTGAAATTACAATTATTAATATTATTCTACTATATACCGTCTAACACTTCTCCTAAAACTCTGCCTTAGCATTTTAGCAATTCTAGCACCAGTAGCTGTAGTGTAACTTGGTGGTGGTGTATATTTTGGTGGTGGATCTTCTGCAGGAGCTGGTGGATTTGGAACTGTGGACGCCACTGCTGCGGCTAAAGGCGCTGGAGGCCGTGGAGGTGCCGTTTGGAGGTGCTCCGTTTCCAATGGAGGACGATATAAGGCTTGTATCCTCTGTTGAAATAAGTTGATATATTAGATAGTAATACTATGGTTTTAAATCTATATGGAATAATATAAAAAACAATGTGTAGAAGCCAAAATATTATATGACGCTATTGAATAAAAATAGCGCCTAATTTTCTGCAAATACAATTGTTCTTCATATTTGTACTGCCATTTGTAATATATTCTTGAATAGTCGTTTCTAGGATAAGCCATTTTTAATAACTACTAACCGTGATTTCAATCTCCATTTGATCCTTGTAGCGCAAAAAGACAATAATTAACATTATTATCTCAAATACGAATAATATACTATCATACATTGAATTTCGGTGTTATTTTACATAGTTAAATCCAGAAGTCAACAAATTGACAATTTTAATTAAATTCCCATGAATAATTTACCAAGTAAATATTACTTCGATACAAGATTATATTTGATCTAATATTCCAAATTGCATGGACACGTAGCAATCTACCATTTTGCTTAAAATAAAATCAACTATATCACTTTGAAAACATCAAATGTTCCAGAAGTAACCATAATTTGAAATTAATTCTCCTTTTCAACTTACTTCTAAAATATCTGGAGATCCATTACTCAAATATCGATAAGTTTGTACCACAGCCGTAAATGGAACTATAAGTAAAGGAATTAATTGAAGCAATGCTCCTAATTGTCTGGACCAAACGGGCCAATATCCAGATGTTGTCCGCCACTGATAAAGTTCTCTGTAAGCACCACTTTTGAAACTTGTGATAGAATGAACCTATAAAATAAATAAGTCAAACATTTAATAATAATTATTTAAATGTATCTATAAATTTTTGTTAATAGTATTACCATTAATGCAACTGGTAGAACGACGTTCCAAACAAATGCTAATAAAGGACCAGCCCATAAAGCCACACAGGGTCCTCGTGGAGGACAAATTGCTCGGACGACGGTGTCACCACTATAAGGACGTCCTCTAACCAAAAATACAGCAGTCACTTGAAGAAGATATAATGCTGCCAACCACCATGCACCGCCGGCACAATAATCCAGGAAGTAGATCACAAATATTCCCAGCTAAGAGGAATAAAAAAATAAATATTAGTGAAATTCAATGTATAAATAACTTTGAAGTTACTTTATAGCAAAGATTTGATTGACAATTATTTTATTAAAACAAGTTCTTCTGTTTGCTATTCGATTTCAAAGTCTTCAAAATACGCCTAGACCCAAGTCAATCTCTTGAAAACATAAAATACGTATCTTTTATATACGCGAGAGAAAATATTTTCTTACTACTTACTTCTGTAGTCAAAGGAAGACCTAAGAGAAAACCTAAAGCACAGCTTAAAAATGTAGCAGTGGTGCCCAAAGCGGCTCCTGGAGTTTTTCGAGCTGATAAAGCGCCTCCAACCACGCAGTACCAAATTGCCAATTGTTGTGATACTCCAAGCAAAATTAAGGTGAAGAAGGAGAGCACTGACCAAAATGGTGAAACCTATAACACATTGAAGTTTAGTCGAAGCAGTGTGTTATTTATTAATTTAAGATAATATTTAGTATATTACTTGATCGGGTCCTAATAGCGCAAACGAGGCCGGCAGCAACTCCGTGGCCAATCTTACAGCTTGATAACCACTAAATCTAGGATCTTGAATACCAGGTCTAGCTGCACGTTCTCCAACAACCATAGATGTTCTTGATAAAAATCTCGGAGGTACGCTGGCTAAAGCTGGAGGCAGTGGGTCTGATGATGGTCTCATGAAAGTGAATGTTGATATTCGCTCTAAAAATAAGTCAGCACAAATTAGATACTTTTTAGCCAAATTTATAGCATGCCAAACTCACCGAAAGAAGCTGTGTGATAATCATATCCGTGCTGTTTCATAACCTTAACACAAGCATTTCCAAGAACAGCAGCCGTCAAAAGAGCAATTATGGTACCAGCCACAACGATCAACGTATCTCTTCGAGGTTTGCTAAAGGCGCCCAAGGAAGCTGATTGCATAGCTGCAGCTCCAAGGAGTCCCCATGTCAAAAATGTTTCTTGAGAAGCGGCTATCCAACTCTAATAAAAAATATTGCAATATGATTATCCTCGTAAAGAAAGTCAAATAATTCTGAACCGATTTTGATTAACCGCACAAAATTTTGGTGTTGACCTAAAATATTACCTTCGTGTTGAGAAAGAACTCGTCCCATTGCGTGCCTGGAAAAAGTTGACCCAACTCATCAACTGACAGAAGTGTTAAAAATTTTATGCAAACTGCCAATAAACCCACTAAAGGCAGCACTGAAAATACCATCAAAGCTTTGCCGTATGATCTAAAAAGTTATAAAACTGAATTAATCAAATTGTTCAAAATAATTTCTATGATTTTGTTTTACCTCAGTCCTTTACTAAGAGCTACGAATACAATTAACCAGACAACTGCAAGATTGAAAGCTAATTGAAATTTTATGGAACCTAATGCACCACCAACATCTCCTTTGGAAGCTAGATGATGCCTTTGAAGAACCACACCGTTGAAATAATCGGCCACTGTTTCAGATAACTTGTAGGAACCATTGTAGAGCGGCCTGATCGCTAAAAAATGAATAGATAATTATAAACATAAACATCTTCCATAAATTTCGCATAATATTGCATCCACTTACATTCCCTGTACAGATCAAAAGGTTCTGCCCATCTATATCGATCTAATTTAGTGATAAAACTGTCCCTGAAGAATGTGAACATCCAGGAAACCGGCATAATAGTATAAACTCCCAAAAGAGCGTGTCCAAACAATAAAGCAATGCCAACTCCTCGAAATATCGGAGAAACTCTCCACATGTCCAATGGTCCGGCACACATTTGATGACCAAGGCACAACTGAAGGGCGAAAAATGGTATTCCGAGACATACTGATAACACCAGAAACTGGATGATAAATGGAGCTGGAAAAGAGAAAAACAATACATGAATTTTAATTGGCAATGAAATTGATTGTGGTAATAAATGACCGAATCCATACCTCCAAAATGTGTGCTAAGTACAGCAAATCGGGATACATTAAACAAGCCCAGGGTGCAAGCAAGGCCTGCCAGGGCCGGACTTATTCCATGGGGCCATGTTTTGGAGTTGTTGTCTCCGGCTCGACTGTCGAGGTCATCTATTCCATTATCCGAATCGGCTCCGACATCGTGCTCCATCTCTGCGTCGCGGTCATCCGGACATCTTCTAAATAAAGTAAATGGTATTAATTTTATTGAATTAGATCACTAAATAGACATATAAAATGTAGGATTTATCATTGGCTTGTATGTATGGTAAAGTTTGGTGATTCAGATTCCAGGAGCGTTATGCATATTATAAATCTATTGGTCTTCATGATGATTGATGAAACTAGTTCTAAAGTACCACTTCACGTAAAAAATAACAAAAAAATTGATGTAACTTGATATAATCTAGATAACATCTCTAGAGTAGTTATCCATATTATTCTCTTAACTGTTGCTCCGTTTATTTTACCTCCAATGTTCTATTAAGGTTCAATGCCATAACTCCAATACAGCAAAGTGTATAATTATATGTACAAGAATATCGATAATAACAATAATGAAGGTACCAGTTTTGCAGAAGAATGAAAATAATCCATAACGATTTAGAAGTCTGGTTTATGCACCTTGCGGCATTAAGGATATTGATTAAGTGGTCAGTAGACTCTGGTTATATATTTAGATCTACTTGGACTTGAAGACCTATACCAAGACTTTAATATTTTTAGAACTATAAATTCTAAAGTTACGGTTCGTTCTCCGCATTTGCATATATTATATAACCTAATATATATTATCCAATATCACATGCAACAATTTTTCATAATTTAGTGGTTTTTCTAACCTTGGCATGTATTTAAATGAAATCATCATATTTAAATAGTGGTGTTGAATTCAAATTAGGTTAGTTTTCAGACACAGAGTTTCAGATTTTATCAGAAGTGACCAGAATTAGAACTTATTACTCTATTGCGTGTGCAGAATTTGTTCTGGCTGAATAATTATGAAGAAATCGATATTCCTAACACGGTATGTAAAAAAAAATGTTGACTTGGTAATTGTCATTTAATTAAAGTATTCATAATATTTTAAATTTAGACAAATTTTAAAGAATTAGATTTTTACTATATTGCAAACCTAATTTTGAACATTTGAAATTTTGTAGAACAAGATTGTTTGGCGATGTATATCATGGTCTTATAGAACTTACTGAAATATTACGGTCTTACAGCAAGTAGTTTAATTTTAAAAATTCATTAAAGCTTGAAAAAATGAGTAGTTTTATTTTTAAGTTTGTTAAAATTAAAATTAGACGTTAGACTTGGTATAACTATAGAGTACTTGGTTTTAATGAACATACTAAACCATTGAAGTCCTACGGAAACTGGTTCAATTATAAAAATAATTGATTTTTGAAAATTTGCTTATAGAAAATACTCCGAGTTAACGTATTCGTTCGTTTTCAATTATGTGTAATAAATCTACTCGGAATACTTTTAATCACTCATAAATTAATTAATTTTTTATTGATTAAGTCGATTATTTACACGTATCGGGAAGATCATGTAACTTACCTCAAGGCAAAATATCAATACAAACTAGTTATATTATAAATTTTATATTAGAATTTAAATCATTTTATATTGAGAAGCACTTAATAATTTATTGATAAATACTTTTAGTACTATCGGTTATTTGTATTTCCAATTTACCAGACATTGTTTGTGTACTCGAAAGATGATTGACCGCAATTTATTCTGATTCATTTATTTGTCTTCAATTCTTGGAACGATCAGCGTCATCAGGTTAAACAGATATATATATATATATATATATATATATATATATATATATATATATATATATATATATATATATATATATATAAATGTATAAATATAAATATAGTATTTATATAAATTCCACGCGTAAATCAGAAAAAGTATCTACTAGGCGCGTCATCGTCATAGTAACACATTTAAGGCAACACAACCTAATTTCTTTTTTATATCAAATATCTCGTATATATTATGTTACATGTATATTAAATTTATCAAAAAATGAAGTTAAAATACTTTATACTTGATAAGTATTAGTTTGTCAAATAAAAAAATAAGTAAAACCTTTTATATAAATTTATTTATTCTCACGATCTTAGTTATCAGACTCTGTCTGATATTAATGTCTCGTGTTCTGAAATCTATAATTATGTACAATACATAAATTATATTTTTCTATATATTATTTATTTCAATCATGAGAATATGGTCAATATGTCGGTGTATTATTTACATAAATTCTATCATTAAAACATTCACTTTTATATGTGACGTGATCGCAAGGCTCTTTTCTTGCGACATTGTCTGACAATCTAGGAAATTGCAAAATTTTTCTAGAAATTATATGGACCACTTGCAAAAATTTATTTTTAACATTGACACAGATATTGGAGATTTTAAATAAAATCTAAAAAACATTGCAGATAATTGCACGTTGATTAGAAATAAAATCTTATAAGACAACAAGAAGTGTTCAATTGTAAATAATTGCAAATTGTTATCAGATGAAATCTCCTATGTCGTAGTTTAATGAGGTTTTACTTCTGAATCATTTCTGTATGAAAGAAAAATGATACTAATAAATGAATTTATTACTATGACTAACAAGTGTTTGGTGTAAATTACTCATAATTTGTATCAGCTGATAATTTAGCTGATAGAGTAAAATTTATTTGTACAAGGTCGTTGTTGGAATTTTGATTAATTTACAAAACTGAAATTCACCTTTTACCAAATATAATTAACTATTAAGTTTTTTTTGTTTATTGGCCTCGATTTCGTTAATAATATAGTTATTTCTAGTAAGAACCAAAATTCCAATGCAACCTTTGTAAACTCCAAAATTTTAACCAATCCTGTGTCGATTCTCCAATATTTTTTTAAAAAAATGTAATGTGTATGTGTTAAATAGAATAGACCAGTTTGTTTTTATATTCAAAATATTGTGCATATAAAAAGTAAATTTAAATAAAATTAAAATCAATTTTTGCAAAATTTGTCTTCATTGGTAAAATTTAATAAATATTTTAAATTAAATGTTAATTATTTTTTCAATAGTAATTAAAAAAACTGACTAGTAAACCATCATGAGACACGCAGTATTAAAGAGTAATTTAGATAAAAGTTATAATAATAAAAATGATAATTTTCTATAAATAATTTAAAGAATGAGTAAGTTCAAAGATAAATGACCGCAGTTTATTATGACTAACAAAAAATTAATAACAAAATGATTAAAAAAAATATCAAAAATTATAAAATAAAAACACAATACAGACAACTCTTGTAACATTTTATCTTCTAATTAGAGCCATAACTAAACTATCTTATTTTTTACCATTTCTTTACGTTTTAAGATCTTCTGAACATTTTGTCATACCTTAGAAAAAATTTAAGTACGTTTGTGTGTGTGTACGTATGGGTGTATGTGCGTGTGTGTGTGCGGATACAAATTTTTGTCAACGATTTCGGGAACACCGATCAACCGATTTGAATAATTCAAAATATATTCGATTCGTATTGATAAGGAGACGTGCTGATTAGTTTTTGGCAAAGGTAAAGGCAGGTCTAGCCGCTATGATACGGGGCATAAAGTGCCAAAAACGGTAACTCAGTATTTAAGAGAACGGAGCGTCCGATTTCAATAATTCAAAAAACATTTTACTTGTATTGACAAGATGAAGAAGCGGTTATGGACTCTTAATAAAAATAAGTTTAAAAAAATGTCATTTGGCGGTCAAAAATGTTTATTGGACATATGTACATCAAATTATCAGATATTTTATAGAGGATTTTAATAATTTGTACACATTTTGTGTATTTTTTTTGGGTTCCGTACCAAGATTTTTAATTACGGTACGGGAAGTGATAGCAATTTGCCTTAAGGCACAATGCTATGCATATCACTACTTTAATAATTGTATATGAAATTACATTTTGAATTATCGATTTTCAGCAAGAGATATCTCGCAAGTGTCCTAGAGACAGCGTCACAAGAACTTTGATGTCAGGTTGCTTGTCGTTTAACCATGTTTACTTTTTTTTTACCAAGTAGCATGATTAAGTGTAAATAAATCTAAAATTTTATTACTGTTACATGATTCACGATCCTCCAAGTAAATGAATCATATTTCTCGTCAAAGCGTTTCCTTTCACATTTGCGTGGTTGTCCAGCACCATGGTGTCTGTATTGGAGAGAGATATATGAAGACAATCCGGTTTTTTACTACCAAGGTCGAAAATTTTATACATTGCTCATGAGATGCTAGTTTTTTGTTTACTCTAAAGATAAACATAAATGCTTTGTGGTATGCGGTTTGAGATCGCTAATATTATCATAATAAGTATAACGAGATTGCCTCTGAATTCTTGGCGTGCCAAAGAATAGTAGACTCAGGACCTAAAATTTGGACTTCATAGGAAGGTAATTGACACAGTATTGAAATTGAAATATTGGTTTATGTCCTTGCAATATTTATTGCAAGAAATATTAATTTCAGCAGTTTGGATCCTTTAGTACTTCCACAACATGAAGCAGTAGTCATCACACTTGATTTTTATGTTTTCCGAAGAATTAAGAACATTGAAGTTCATAATGGAGAAAAATTATGAAATGAAGTTATGAAATTTTTTTTATGAAAATTATTGTCATGGATATTATAGTTAATATTGAAGGGTCCTTGCTAAAAATAACTATATTATCATTTTAATTTTTTTTATTTACCTTCAATAGACAAAAAAACTTGATAGTGAAAAAGGTTGGAAACTACTGAACAAATTAAAGAAAAATAAAGGTACTGTTGAGTTTTTTAGACAATTTTGTTCAAGTATAGCATCAATTAAAAAATATTGAATGTTCGCACAGGCTCATCTAAGTTAGTCTTCTGCAAAAGCATAGAAAATAATTAAATAAAGAAATGATTTCATCAACAGGCTAACATAAATGATTTATTTGAACTTGAGTTTATTTTTAAAAACTGTCAAAATATTATATGGCTGGTTTGGTTTATAAAACCAATCAAATATTTTCATTGTTTAAAAATTTATTTATGTTGTATTAAATTTGATGCATTTCCAGGAATTTTGGTACAAGGTGCGAACCACTGGTTATTTTTATTACTAG